AAGCTTTCGTGGCATTAACTGTAAAGGGGATAATTGGCTTACTTTCCTCGGGCCGGACAGAGTCGGGAAAAAAAGAATTGCTTCAGCACTTGCTGACGTACTATTTGGCAGCCAGGAATGCGTAGTTTCCTTGGATTTGAGCTCACAAGACAAACTTGGCCACTCAAACTCGATCTTTGAATGCAAAGAGTTGAGTAGTTATGATGAGATGTCTAGAGGGAAAACAATGTCCGACTTGATTGCGGAGGAGCTAAGAAAGAAACCCCATTCCGTTGTCTTCCTTGAAAATGTTGATAAGGCTGATTATGGTGTCCAACATAGTTTGGACCTGGCTATTAGAACGGGTAAATTTCCAGATTCACGTGGACGAGAAATAAGCATCAACAATATGGTTCTTATAACAACGTCATCCTCCATCACAAAAGGAAATGTAAAAGTTATCTGTGAGAACAAAGTCGTCAAATTCCCTGAGAAAATAATTCTTGGAGCCAAAAACTGGCAAATGCAGATCCTGGTTGGCTCTGCATCTGATGATGCAAGCAAAAGCAACTACATGGGCGTCAGGGTTGCAACAGTTAAAGAAGCTTCCACTTCTACATCTGCTAATAAAAGAAAGACGATGGATGTTGTTGAGTCATCCGAGCTAGAAAAAACAGACACAGGAGAACGAGAACACAAAGTGCCTAGATCTTGTCTGGACTTAAATTTCCCTGTGGAGGAGGCAGATGAGGAGGACATGGGTTTGGGGCACTCGAAAAGTGAGTCGATGTCTGAAAGCTCAGAAAGTTGGTTGGAAGAATTATTTAGCCAAGTACATAAAAAGATACATTTCAAGCCATTCGATTTCGATGGAGTTGCTGATAAAATTGTGAAGGAAATCAGCTCACAATGTCAAAGGACAGTGGGAACAGAGGTTGCATTGGAGATTGGTGAACAAGTAATGGTACAAATGCTTGCTGCTGCCTGGCTTTCTGACAAAAGGGAGGCTATCGAAGATTGGGTTGCGAAAGTTCTCGGGAGAAGCTTAGTGGAGGTTGGGCAAAAATACAATCTCTCTCCTCGATCTGTTTTGAAACTGGTTGCATGTGAAGGTGATGTTGTGAAGGAACAAGCACCTGGAATACGTCTTCCTGCGAAAATTAATCTCAACTGATGCTCCATTCTTCATCTTTTTGACCATGTAATTAAATGCATAATGTAGCTCGTATGTTATCTAAAATCTTGCATTCTTTTGGGGTAATATTATTTTTTGTGTTGTATTTACCAAAGAATGTATAACGCTCTCCTTGTCCAATGAATGTCTTCAAATACACAATGAGACCGGACCTCTAGCACTACGCTGCCTAACCCTTTTTCGTCCCTAAAACCACGAGTCCTACTCGACCGTCCTACTTGCTTATTGTTGTTTGTTTTGTTCGTAGATTGCTAGAGCCCCTTTCCCTGTGGGCTATGTTTCTTATTTAAAGCTACCAAGTTTTGTAGGTCACTGCTTTTTGTTTTAACCCGGCAATGAACAAATTTAAAGTCGGTTCCTTCATGTTTCTCCTGTTATAGGTTGCATTTACGTACCTTTAATGCTCATCTTAAAGCTACTGTATCTAACCAATGCTATCTTTTTTAACCAAGTTTTTTTTTGGACCTTAATGCTTTGATTATATTATTTCTGGAGCCTAAATTTGGAAGTGATGATGAATGGAAGCAACATAGACACTCTATTAGCTGTTTAATTGAATAGTTTTTAACAGATTTAAGATTAAAATTACAATATCAACATCTAGCTTTTTCCACAATGCATAGTGATTTTTAAGGGAAAAATAAATAAAGGCAGAGAGGATGGGCGGTGGTCCACTCCATTTAAAGCTAACCTTGTGGATCAAGAAAACTCCCCTTCTGCAATTTGTGTAGGACTTTTTGATTGCTTCGGCTTACTTTGTTGCTGGGAACTTTTTACATCTTTTATCACAAATTCAATCAATCTTACAAATTACAATCAAAATTGTTCTCTCAGTTGTGCTTCTAATTTGTTAGCTGCTTTATTTAAAATCTTGCATTTTTTTTTGTTTACTTTAGACTAAAAATGCAAGTTATTGTTGTTCATCCATGGACTTTACTTATCTGTTTTTTTCCAATTGGGTCCCATTCCTATATGTAAACTATAGAGGTGGGGAGTCCTTTATTGCCGCTCGGGCGTTATTACCTACAAAAAACCCTAAAACTAAACCAGATTTTTTAAAAATATCCTAAAATCTGAACACGCATGAATATTTTGCGTCCTAAGAAAAGTAAGTAAATGTCTCGCGTTATACACGGCACGCGTTTTTTTCTAACGTAATTACATTTTTTAGAGAATATAATTTAATATTTCAATTAATGGCATCACGTTACACAAAACACGAAGTCTCCGATATATTGACATGTCTTGAAAAATTTCAAGTATCGTATCTTTTGGACGGACCTCGATGCTTGCGAAACATGAGGTCTTTGATCCTTTTTGAATTTAATTTAATCATTATATATTTTATTGTATTATATATAATAAAATAACAAAAATAACTATAAATAGACAATACTAATTAAAATTAAAATTCAATCTCTATGTAAAATGTTACAATGTTACAGAACAAGATTGCTTCATGGTTTCAAAAACATGAAACATAACAAGTACATAGATTGTTATAGTCAATTTGTTAAACTTGATGGTATGAATTACGCGGACAGTTATTAGGACAATTGCAGGCTTTCTTTTGTTCTGAGAAGACAACTCCACGGCATTAAACTTAAAAATATGAATCCATCTTTAAAGGTATAACTTCTAAATTAGAATATATTTTTATGTTTTATATATACCATCAAATCAAATATAATGTTAAATTTTGCTTAAATTATTAATTAAGTTTTAATTATTAATTTGTTTAAATTATCTTCCAGAAATATGATTTTTATTCACCCTGAACATGCCTATAAAGTCATGTTAGCTTTTTTTCATATAGAAAATTAAGCTTTGGAACCATTTTGAATGCAATTTTTACCTCACTTATAATGTCTCGTATTTGTTGATATTACCCTTATTGAAAGATAAGTTACAATACTACGTCTCTAATCTTATAAATTAAGAAAGATTTCAAATTAATTACCGTAAAAAACCCCTTGAATATGCCTATCAAACCATTTTAGCATTTTCTTTATACACAACAAGCTTTGAAATTATTTTCAACGCGATTTTTAACCCACATATAATATCTCGTATGTTTCGATATTGACCTCAGTTGAAAGATAAATGATAATACAATGCCTCTAATTTATAAATTAAGAAAAAAATTGAGATTAAATACATAAAAATACCCCTCGAACATGCCTATAAGCGCTTGCGGTTTGGGCTGGAAAACTACATAACTCGCGTTTTATATAACGCGAGGTATGTTAAATACTACACGTGAAAAATTTCTTGACATTTTAATATCTCGAGGATCTCACATTTTATGTAACACGAGATCATTAATTTGAATATTAAATTGTATTTTTTGATAAGTGCATCAATGTTTGAGAAAACTCGCATCTTGTATAACGCAAAACTTTAACTTTTTTCCCAATACGTGAGGTAATCCTACGTGTGCAAGTTTGGTGCATTTTCTAACAATATAGTTTGAGTTACTATTCCAAAAAATAATTTTTGAGAAAGTAATAACACTTGCAGCACGCCAATGACTTTTCTCTAACCATTCATTTCATTTTTACTACTCTAACTCCTCTTTAAAACAAATCACATCCCTTCAATCTCAGCAATAAAGAAACTATTATTATTACTTGTGATCTCGAATTAGAACATCAGAAATGTTAGAGACGTGAACATTAAATGTCAAATGATTAAGAATTATATTTAGAACAAATATTATATTATACTTACCCTAATTTAATAAAAAATATTATTTGAAATTTAAGAGAGAAATTAAGCTTCAATCATCACATATTTTTCATTTCCATTCTATTAAAATTGTATATACATATATTCTTTTTAAGTACTTTTTTTGAGTTATAATATTTTAAAATTATATATAAATAAAATCAAATTGAATTACACTTTAATAAAATTGAAATTTTTGCTTAATCCCACCTCAATTATTATACCAATGTCTAGTTTGCAAGTTAAAGCTGGATTTCACCTTGTCATAAAAATTGCGATAATAATTTAAGTCTCCCATTTGATTTTTGGAATATTAAATTGAATTGACGAAAAGGTTCCAACAAAAGGACAGACAACCTTCTAAGAATGTATCGAAACGCTGCGATTCGTCGATAGCATCAACAAATTTCGTCTCCTTAAAACAGTATCCAAGATTTATCCTCACAGCCCACGTCGTTCACAGACAAGTAAGCTCCACGCCGTACGCCTTCCGTCCTGCAGTTCCTTGATTGAAGATGTCACAGTCGGCTAACTTTATCAGATACCACTTACGAGTCGGGTTTATAATAATCTTGCTGACGGTGCAGGTACGTCCACGTCATCCACTTAGGGCCAACGGAATGCGGAAATCGTGACGAATCCGGATTCTTCAAAATGGAGTGGCCGTTTCCACAAACGAAAAATAAAAGATACAACACGTGTCAGTTTATCATTTGAAAGCAGGTAGACATTAAGCGCTCCTTCCGTGGACCCCTCCCCACGTAAACATTTCGCACCAAATATAAGAAAAAGGAATATTTGAGTGTAATTTCCAATTTCATGTGCATTTGCATTTGCATTTGATGGGTCTCAATTTTTTAGAGGGAAAAAGAGGTTCATTCTTTTTGACTATTTTCATTATAAGAATAAAATATTTTAAACTATTTATAAAATTAAAATTTTCCGAATTTAAAATATTTAATTCCATAAGGTTGTTAAAGCTTATTATATGTGATTTTAAATTATTATTTTTGAATTTATGTATGTAGTTTAAGGTTGAGATTAAAAATAATAATTGCCTTTTTCTTCTTCTTTCATTTCTCGCTTTCTCTCCCTCTTTTAAGCTCGGGTTTGAACTTTCAAGTTTAAAACACACAAAGGTTGTTTTTTTCCCTTTCCAGAAACCTCAAAGAGACATTCTGGGTTTCTGTTCTTGTCCTCAAAATTTTGTGTGTTCGAAGGTATGTTTTCTCTCTCTGTCTCTCTGTTTTCTTCTATGTTTCTTTTTTTGTTCGTGTTCTGTTTTCTTTGCGGGAAAGATGTGAAAAAGAATGAAACTTTGAAGTGTTTTTATTGTTGGGGTAGTTATTTTTCGTGTGTTAGTACCATGTTTGGGATTGGAGTGGAGTGTTTCTGCATGTGCGGTTTATTTTTATCAAGTTTTTGTAACTTCCTTTCTGTTTTTACTTTTTGGTTTCAACTTATGTCTTGATTTCTTTTAATTCTCGGGTGAGTTTATTTGGTATGTAGTTAATGGTTGTGGTTTTTAATGATCAGATCCTTATCTACAAAATTCGAATGCTTTTACGGGGAAAAATTATGATGCCTTGGGTTTGATTTCATAAACTGTGGGATTTAAGCCTCTCTCTCTCTCTTTCTCTCTCTCTCTCTTGCAGAGAAGATAAATTTCCATGTGCAGTTGTCCAAAGAGGAAGGCAACTCAAAGTGGTTTAATCATGGAGGGCGAATCTGGTAAAGAAGATGGTGTTTCACAAAAGTTATCGGGTTTGTTGGAATTTTCGGCTTCAAATGATTTGATTGCCTTTAAAACTGCTGTTGAAGAAGAGGGTCATGATATCGATGAGCCAAGCTTGTGGTACGGAAGGCGATTGGGTTTGAAGAAGATGGGGTTTGAAGAAATGACACCTCTTTTGATTGCTTCCTTGTTTGGGAGCAGGGATGTGGTGAATTATATTGTTGAAAGTGGACGTGTTGATGTTAACAGGGCTTGTGGTTCGGATGGGACCACGGCTCTCCACTGTGCAGTTGCTGGTGGCTCCTTTGATTCCGCTGAGGTTGTCAAAACCTTGCTTCATGCTTCTGCTGATGTCGATTCTCTTGATGCTAATGGTAACCGGCCTGGTGATTTGATTGCTCCCATTTGTAACTCGACTTTTGGCTTGAGAAAGAAGGTGTTGGAGTCTTTGTTGAAAGGAAGTGACAGTGTTAGTGAGATAGACAGCTTGCCTGCTCAGTTAGGAAATGAAATGGGAGGGATGGAGGAGCAAGAGTACACCACGGCCCGAGTTTCAAAAGATGGGACTGAGAAGAAAGAGTATCCCGTTGATCTTACTCTTCCGGACATTAAGAATGGAATTTATGGTACGGACGAGTTTAGAATGTATACCTTCAAGGTCAAGCCTTGTTCGAGGGCCTATTCTCATGATTGGACTGAGTGCCCCTTTGTTCACCCTGGGGAGAATGCAAGGAGGCGTGATCCTAGGAAATATCATTATAGTTGTGTCCCTTGCCCTGAATTTCGTAAGGGATCTTGTAGGCAAGGTGATAACTGTGAGTATGCTCATGGTATTTTCGAGTGCTGGCTTCATCCTGCTCAGTACCGAACTCGTTTATGCAAGGATGAGACTAATTGCACGAGGAGGGTTTGTTTCTTTGCTCACAAGCCTGAGGAGCTTCGTCCCTTGTATGCTTCAACAGGTTCAGCAGTGCCTTCGCCGAGATCTTACTTGGCTACTAGTTCTTCACTGGACATGGGTTCCCTGAGCCCACTTGCACTTGGCTCCCCATCTGTTATGATACCTCCGACGTCAACTCCGCCCTTGACCCCATCTGGTGCCTCTTCTCCTATGGCTGGATCAATGTGGCCAAATCAGTCAAATATCATGCCTCCTACATTGCAGCTTCCTGGTAGTAGATTGAAAACTACTATTAGTGCTCGGGATATGGATTTAGACATGGAACTATTGGGCCTGGAAAGTCATCGTCGCCGCCAGCAGCAGCAGTTGATTGATGAGATGTTCGGCCTTTCCTCCCCAACCAGCTGGAACAATTCTACAGCGTTTTTTGCCTCTGGTGACCGAACTAGTGAGCTAAACAGGTTTGGAGGGGTGAAGCCGACTAACCTTGAAGACTTTTTTGGATCTCCTGATCCTAGTATTATGTCACAAATACAAGGACTCTCACTTGATGCTTCAGCATCTCAGCTGCAATCTCCCAACGGAGTTCATACGCCCCAGAATATTAATCAGCAGCTCCGCACTAGCTACCCATCAAATCTGCCATCCTCTCCCTTGAGGGCATCTGCATCCTTTGGATTGATCCATCTGGGCCATCTGCAGCGGCAGTTTTAAGTTCAAGGTCGGCTGCCTTTGCAAAGCGGAGCCAGAGCTTTGTTGAGCGTACTGCTGTAAACCGTCATTCAGGGCTTTCTTCACCGGCTTCTTCATTAAGTGCGATGACATCTAACCTATCAGATTGGGTTTCCCCTGATGGTAAACTAGACTGGGGCATACATGGAGAAGAGCTAAACAAACTAAGAAAATCTGCTTCCTTTGGGTTCCGAAGCAGTGGAAGCAATTTGGGAAATGCACCTCGCGCTATATCACCGACTCCTGATGAGCCTGATGTGTCTTGGGTGCAGTCTCTCGTAGTTGACCCTCCTCTTGCTGGGCAGTTAAGTTTTGACGACGAGCAGCAGTGTCACCGTAACAACAACAACAACGGAGGTGCTGAAATGCTCCCGTCCTGGGTGGAGCAATTGTACATGGAGCAGAAACAGATGGTGGCCTAAAAGCAAAGCTATCCCAACCATTATCTCCCAAGTTAACCTTTAACTACTTTTTCTTTTTCCCCCTTTTTTTATTACTTTTCATCAATATTCAGCGTTTATAATTGGAATGAAATGGACCAGGAGAGAATACAAGGTGAGCAGAGAACAAAAGGTGCCTGCCATAACTGCTCTTAGGTTCTAAAGAATAATTATCTGTTATTCTTTTTAGTCACAGGATTCGGTTTGCTTCTTCGCACGGGTCCTTATTTCATCCCCAAAGCCGAAGAGGGTAGAATTAGGCCAATGGTTTCAGGGTTACATTCATTTCAATCTGCAAATGATTATTTAGTATATTTTCAGTTGGTGGGGAGAAATGTTGTTCACATTTTATGTACCAAAAAACTAGTGCATTATTTAATTAATATAATCTATTTGTCTGCTAAAACTTGCTTATCCTTTTCCATGCCCTGATAGTGCTGAATCATTAACATGCCTTCTTCCTTTAGGCGTAAAAAATGGAAATTGATGTCATCCAGCTTCTGCTTTCAATACACCATGAAGAGTTTTATTTCTTTACACAAAGCACATAATCGATGGATGTTCTCTTCTGATTCCACCACTGAAATATTTCCATCTTTACAATGTCATGTAGCCATCAAACTTTTTATTGTGAAATCCTACTTTTGTCATTTCAGAAAGTGAGATTCCATGATCCAAAGTGGGTGTAATTGTTTGAGCACTAAGAAAGAAAAAGGTAGTCCTACTTGTGTTAAAGTTTACTCCCCCATTTTAATTAACTTTTCTTATTGGGTAACCTTTGTAGTGGAATGGGCAATAGAAGCCTAGGAGAATGAACAACAGTTATTTCGAGATTTAAAGTTAACCTGAATCTTCTGCTTCTTGTTCCCGTGATACCAGAATGTTTTTGTCAATCTTCAACCAAGGTTTCTTGCAGGTGCAGAAACCGGATAATAAAAAAATATTGTTACTAAAAAATTACATAATACAATAATTCTTAATCCCAGATTCCACTCCCTGACTCCTGCAGCCGGGGCTGCCTGCAATGTGATTATTTAATTATGGTGTAGGGACTGTGCCTTACTTAATCTGGTTGATTAATATCTCATTATATAATCAGGTTTTGGATAATTTACAGGAAATTTGAAATGGCTTCAATTGGCTGTCAGCCACATCTTTCATGGTAAGCAATTTAAATTTAAACCATATTTAGTTGAGAAATTGAAGCGAGAATGGACACAAGTTTTGAAAATAGATACTAGCAAGCTGTATATCTTTGACTAGAGAATTTTGCAGCTGGAAAAATTTACAGGGGCTGATATCACAAGGGAAAGGTCAAGAAAATTAATGAGAAGCTCATCTAGAAAGAAATTTGATCCAAAGTATGCAGTAATAGCTTCAAGGTTGGACTTGGAACATAACCAATGTGGATCTCCCATCAAATTACGAGGAGATTTGCATCCATAGCTCTGGTGATAATCTCCTTGGGTTTAACCCTTCTTCTGCCTTTGAATCCAAATTCAGTCTAACAAATAAACATAAACAGAATCAAATACATACTTACAGAATTGACGAGTACCAACCTGATGTAGGAACTAGGAAAATAATGATGAAAACAGGAACAGAAACCGGGCTTGAATCTTTTGAGCTGCATTCAGGCTCTACATTTTGAGTCCTTTTTCTTCCTCAGTTTCGCTTCTGATCCTTTTTTCTCCAACAAAAAATCACTAGCTTCCCTACATTTGGCTATTTCTCGTTTAGGCTTCTCAACAATTCTTCTATTCATCTTCTCCTCCGCAACTTTCTCTACCCGATTTTTCTTGTTTTCTGAGCGCATCTCTTTGCTTATCGCTGGAAGTGGGCTCTAAGTTCGGCAAGAAGAGGCTAAGTTACAGGACGGAGGTCCGTTCTAACAAATAAAGGGCAGGTCTGTTGGGCTTTGAGTTCGGTCGATACAATACAATAACATCATGTCAGTTTTTGTGCCCAAAGCTGGGCTTTTCTCATCAAATTTTCAACCCTTAGACACAAAATACAGGATCTCAAACATATTAAATTTATATAAAATGAAATACTAAGCAAGTAAAACAAGAATGAAAAATTATACAAATAAAAAAAATAATCTCTTAACTATAGAACGTTGCCTTTTTAAGTTCTCTAACTATTAAAAGTTACAAAATAGTCACATAATTATTCATTGTATTTCAAACTCTTCATTTTCTTTAAAAAATTGATGGTAGCTTGAGCTGAACATTAACATGCTAATTAAGATATGATAGTCGTTTGAGATTCTATGTTTATATTATATCATATCTGAGTCAGGAGGTTAACGTCCAAATCAAAATGCCATCAATTTTTTATTGGAAAATGACGAATTTAAAATACAATGAATAGTCGAGTGACCAATCAAAGGACTTAAAAACAATATTTTATAATCAAAAGACCATCTTATAACTTTTAATAGTTGAAGTACTCAATAAACCAATGACTTAAAACCTATCACATTAACTTTTATTAGTTTTGAATAAAAATTAAAAACTTACCACGAATGGTTTTTAACTATAGTAATTAAAAACTTAGCATAATTAAAGCATATGCACAGACGCAGTGAATACTGGATATACTAAGAGTATTGATAAAAATATAACTAGGATAAAAAATTCAAACAAAAAAATATAATTGTTTTTGAAAAATATAATAGTTTAAAATATAATTAGGAATTCTAAATATTTTGATCAGAAATGCAAAAATTTTATTAAAATAATTTTTATTTAAGACAATTTATAAATAAATACTTTTTTTTCTTTTATGTAATTAGTCAGGAAAGACAGATAGACATGTTTCATTAATCCAATCGGGCCCCAAGGCCCCCTACGAACGTACCCAGAATAAATGAACTTGTTGAAGAAGACAAAATCTCCTCTCATGTACCAATACAAAACCAGAATAAATAAGGTGTCTCACTCCTTCAGCCGCTGTTGAATTAAACAAAGCCAAAAAGAATATGCTTGAAATGAGCAACCTTGAATCCTACCCTCCACTCTTTCGCCATCTCAACTCCATGGAAGATTCATCTTCTTCATCGCCATCATCAGTCCCTATTCCCGTGGTGGATCTTCAGTGCCTTAGCCACGTAAAGCTGGGAGAAGCTTGCAAAGAATGGGGTGTTTTTCGTTTGGTAAACCATGGGATTCCTCCCACCCTTTTGAGCAAACTGGAGGAGCATGTGAGGATGTTGTTTTCGCTATCCTTCGAGTCCAAGCAAGCCCTACTCACTAACCCTTTCTCTTACTTTTGGGGCACCCCTGTCCTAACCCCATCCGGGGATGCCCTAAGGGGTGCCTTTAATATGAATTGGTTGGAAGGCATGAATTTCCCGCTCACCAACTCCCGCTGTTTCAGACTGAGGATCCCAGGCTTCAAGATTTCAGGTATATATTTGCTTCTTGTTTATTTCTTCAGATGTGTATTGCTTCTGGGTGGACAATAATAACCCAATGAAGTGACCAACTGATTGGACTGTCCCAGATTCTTTCTGCAAATTGCAAGGTCAGCATCAATAACTTTAGGATCCCTGCCCTTTCAGTATCATAAACCAATAATACACCTCTTTCATTTTCCATACCCCGTTTTTGAAACATGAAGCTTCATTGTTAACAAATGTGGCAGAATATCCTACAGGGTGGGGTCTTTAATTAATTATTGCTCCCCAGTTCTAATTATCTTCTAAATGATGATTAAGTTTTGCTTACTGCTTTATTTGGATAATTGGGAAATATGTATTCTTTTTTTAATTTCACTTAGGCATTATCTGGAAGAATATGGAAGGCACCTTTCGAGAATTGCGACAACCTTGTTTGAAGCAATGGTGAAGAATCTGAATCTGTGTCCTAAACAGACCGAGTGTAGCTTAGATGAATCGACTGGATTCGTACGTCTTTACCGATACCCATCTGGGTCCTCGGTCGACAAGTCGTGGGGCATGATGGAGCATACTGATAGCTCACTGCTCTCCATTGTGAACCAGGACCAAGTAGGGGGACTCGAGATTTTCAAGGACAATAAATGGCTATTGGTTAACCCAATTTCAAACACCCTTCTAGTCCACATCGGTGACATGATGCAGGTGACCCCTAAACTCAACCTGCATTCTTATCTATCCAATATTTACAACATAAATGTGTTTGTGGTTTGTATATAACGCAGGCTATAAGCGACGACCGATACATGAGTGTGAAACATAGAGTGAGAGTGAACAAGCAGGAGGAACGACTCTCCGTATGCTACTTTGTGTTCCCAGAAAAAGGCAGCGTCGTCCACAGCTCTAAATACAAACCTTTTACGTACACCGAGTTCCAGCAACAAGTGCAAAACGACACCAACACTTTAGGTTATAAAGTTGGTCTGCAAAGATTCAAGCTTAATGCACCTGTTTAATCACTTTGTTATCAATTAATTATGCAGTTTGTTCTACTAATTACTTGGTTCGGGAAACACTTGTGGTTCACTCTTTTCCTCAGCTGATTAAGGCTGCCCTATGCAGTCTGGAATTTGAGATAGAAAAAGAAATTGCAGGTTTTGTCGAATTAGCTTACATTAAACCATACATTCATCTGTTCTGTAAAAGCAAAATGGCTGATGCTTAGCTAATACAAATTAGTGGAGGATGTGGATAAGCTGAAATCGAGGCGGCGAAAACCCTAGGAGAAAATAGGCAAAAGAATACCTATTGACAACTTTATTTTTTTTCTTCTAATTTCAGGTAAAATACAATAGATGTCAAATCATGAAAGAAGAAAGGAGGGATTGAGCAATTGGATTCAACCCTACCATCCATTACATGGATAGTGCTATCTATTGCGAGAAAACAAGAGATACAGTCTAATAATAACTTTATTAATAATATATTGATCTAAAACATTAATTAAATTATTTATTTTTATATTTAATTAAATGTTAAGATTAAAAATTAAATTCTTAAATTAAGAAATTAAAATAATTTACTCTTTTGATACAGTGTGACGGACATTCTTTTGTGCGCAATCTTTTAGAGGAGTATTGGATGGTTAATTAATCCAATACTCGAAATAAACATTTGTATTCAGCTTGATCTTCACACAAGTATCTTTATATTCCAACTTCCATGGCTGCTAAGATGATCAATTACCTTGCGGCATGTTTCACAGCCAAATTATTCCCTATTTGGTGACTTGTCACTTGATCGGATTCTAGGTAGAAGAAGCCCCAAATAGAGCGACTCTTCAAGCTGCGGATGACCGACGATTTCTTGATCCGCCGTAGTCACTAGTTTCCTTGGTTTGCTGCAGAATAGGATCAACCGATTGCAGCTCTCTTTGATCTTCTCTTGTCGTTCCGTTTCAATGCTTCATGCTTTGGAGGGAGAAGAATGGTCGGCTCTTGTTTAGAGATTTTCTAGTTCTTTTCTCTTTGTTTTATTTATTTCATTCTGTTGCTTTCCAGACAGTAGTTTAGACCTTGGTTTGGTTTTGTAAGAGTGCTACAGCTGACACTTTGTTTCTATTCAACTTAAACGCCGACGTTTGACTAAATTAGTTACCCTCATTCTCATATGTAATGAGGTAAAGGGTCATATGTAATGAGGTAAGTGGAGGTAGGATAGTAGGTTGCCCCCAACGTCAGGTTGAGAGCAGCTTTCATAGGAGACCTCCGAATTATGAAATGCCCTCTGTGGGACTCAATCTCACGACCCCAAGATTAAGAGCTTCGTGCTCTACCAACTGAGCTGGATAGTCATTTCCGACTTTTGACTAAAAAAGTATATTTTATAATATAATCTAATTAGGTTGGCCAATTAATTGGTTTAGATGTGGAAACTAACATTAGGGCATCAGCATGTGAAGAAAAAAATGATTTCAGGATAATTACCATGGTTTTCTAATTTTGAATTGTTGATGAGTCGTGTCCCTCTCTTTTCTTGTTGAATTGGGCACTGCACGTAGTTACGGACATTTATATCAAATTTTGCCTTTAAAAATATAGAAAATTTAAAAAATGATTGTACCCAAATACCGTTTTGCCTATCCCTGTCCGTAAACATAGTCCTTGTGTTTATTTTTTTTTATTAAGCTAAAGATGATAAATAAAGTAATACATGTGAGCTGAAGATAATCTTAATTTTGATTATGATATGTGATTGAATTCTTATTACTTACTTCAATTTAACATCTGACTTTGATTTTAAACTACGAATTGATATTGATTTTGGCACTGAAGTGCAATTTACCAACAACCCTTAGGGTGCGTTTGGTTCACGGAATATAAGATTACCAGTGGAATGTAAGATTACCAAGGAATACATTACTGGAATGTTGTATTTTGTGTTTGGTTGGCTTAGCAGGAATGTAAGATTACCGTGTTTGGTTAAAGGAATAAAAGATTATTAAAATGTATATTTGACCAAATTGTCCTAATTATATATTTGTGTAATATTACAAGTTGGAAAATATTTATATATTTTCTTTAAAAAATTAAATTCATAATATTTATATATTTTTTACAAAATTAAAAATAAAAAAAAGTTTAATGAAAGGGTAAAATTTTATTTAAACCCTTGAACTTTATATAAAATTTTAATTATAGATTTTTTTTTGTAAATCTAAAATAATTTAAGGATAAATTTGTAATTTAACATTCGTAAAATTTTTATTATTCGATGACAGAATAAATATATTTTTGAAAAAAAATAAAAATTTAAGGGCATTTTAGTCCAAAACGCCGGTAATCCAACAATACCTAAGGAAAGGGAGGTAATGACATTCCGGTAATATACCCCAAAAAATCCACTATTGGTAATCTTACATTACCGGGAATAGGATTCCCGGACTAACCAAACGGGGAATGTGGATTCCATTCCCATGGGAATCCACATTCCCCAATCCAAACACCCCTTATGGCTATATATAAAAATCTCGCTACTCTCTCCATCTTTGCCTCATTCTTTTGTTTTCTGTAGCTCCTACTCTGTTACTTTGTCAGGTCACCTGGCTCATTTTCATTGCCTTTACCACAATTTTTTCTTTGTTTTTGAGGGAAGGGTGGTTATGGAAGCTCAAGAGGAAGTTGATCGTCAAGCCTTGATCATCAAAGGCAAGCGTACCAAGCGTCAAAGATCATTGTCCCCGTTCGGTGTCACCGTGACTTCTAGCTCGTCAAGTGCTTGCGGCGGTGGACCGGCGGAGGAATACAATTCGATATCGTCACCGGTGACTTCCGGTGAGAGCACAGAGGAGGAGGAAGACATGGCTAATTGCTTGATCATGTTAGCACAAAGTGATGGTCCGAAGAGGAGCAATAATGGAGAGAAATTCCAGATGGTTACCGTGACTACAAACAAGACCGGAGCTTATGCGTACGAGTGTAAAACTTGTAACCGATCATTCCCGTCGTTCCAAGCACTGGGAGGGCATAGGCAAGCCACAAGAGGCCCAAGGGAGCCATGGCGGATGACAAAAAACCACCTGTTTCGGCGGTCAAAGATCATGTTATCGAAGACGCCGATCAATTCAACAGAAAAAATCCAGCAGTTGTTGCTTTACAAGCAAGTAACAACAACAGCAAGGGTAATTGTCATGGGAACAAGGGTTATAAGCTTCACGAGTGTTCAATCTGTGGCTCTGAATTCTCGTCCGGTCAAGCCCTCGGAGGCCACATGAGACGGCACAGGGCGGCTGCTGCTGCAGGCAATCAAGCTGCCGTGAGTGTTGAAACTAGTAGCAGTCCAATCGAGTCCAGAAATGGCGATGGAATCAAGCCTAGAAATATTCTACAACTGGATCTTAATCTTCCTGCACCAGAAGATGATCCACGTGATTCCAAGTTCCAATTCGGAGCACCCCAACAAGCTATTGTTTTCTCCACACCAGCTTTGGTAGATTGCCATTACTAAATTACAAAAAAAAAAAAAAAACCACGAATCAATGTGAATCATATATAATTAAATCATTTCAAGTCAATATTATTCACAATTGTCAATTGTATTCTTTGATTTTCATTTTTCTGATGATCCACTCTGCATACTTTGAACTAGTAAGTGGTTAGTACTCAAGGTTGCCCTCCATTCACGAGAAGTGAGTGATGGAAGCATATTTTATTTTATGGGCCTTTCTTCCTTTCAAATTTTATCTGAAAGAGAAAGTGATGTATAACACTAAAAAAAGAGCAAATACACACAAGAATTATGGGGGAATGGCTATCTAGGGTTTGGCACCACCACAAACTAAAGTCGTGGATTAGGTTATCTTTACTTTGTGAGCTTCCTTTTTTTCTTTTTGGATTTTCATTAATAAAGCTAAAAATACTCGTATATATATATATATATATATATATATATATATATATATATATATATATATATATATATATATTCCTTCACTCTCACAGTACATGCCACAGTCTGTTTCATCAAATGACAAGGAATAAATGGATAGCAAAGCTGAGTTTTTAACTGCCCAACTTATAGATCACTCCATTTTTTTCCTATACTTTTTTAATGGTCTACCCTGCTTTAAGCTTCCACCCCATCTCTTGCTGCTACATCCCGTTTATCATTATTGTTGAAATACGTAACATGTTCATTGATTAACAGTAATAATCAGAATTAGAATAAAGTACCCTACACCTAATTAACTAACTACAATATCCCTTAGTTTGCAAGTCACTTAAATGACATTATCACCCATGGTCAATTTTATGATATGAAATTGAAAAGGCATGGCCTTATGAAGAAAGAAAGAAATGAGAGGGGTGAGTTGATCAATTTACCCACTCTGTTATGCATAACTGGAGTTTGTTAAGTGTAGGTTTCGGTGAGTGTTGCTAAGCAAATCACGTGGACACTTTGCGTGAGATCATGTCCTAATTAGCTTTGTTTTGTGTAGACGATTACATCAGTAGTGCTTTCCCAATAGGTTTATCATTTATACTTATTTATCATCCAAAACATTTCACCCAAGTGTACTTGTACAAGTGTCAATTTCTAAAGACCACTCAAAATTTGAAACCTAAACTACTAAAAGGGGTTTTAAATCTCATGGGAACCGACCGCATGGGCTGATGACAATAGGCTATATGCATTACATAAAGCGTATATTTTTAAGGGTGACATGTGGACCGTTGATGATGCCCATGTATATCTAAAACTAGTGTGGCCTTCAACTTCACAGCTGGTTGGCTATCCAAATCTCTCGGCTTCTCTCTTATCTTTTTTGGTCAAGTCATGAAAGTGACCAAAGCTTTAACGCTTTTGCTACCTTTGGCAACTATATAAGCCAATAATATTATTATACAGTTACTATGGTGTGCTCTCTTAGTAATAATAACCCCGAAAAAAATTTAATTTTTTTTAAAAAAATTGTGGGTTTAATTTGGTTTTCATTATTTTTTTTTACTTTTTATATTTTAAAGTATTTTCCACTGACCAGAAAAATAAAACCAAACAATGAAACAATATAGGTGGTGTGGTTAGTCTCTCTCTTTTGGTGAGATGTTGCCTACCTAATGTGTTTCATACTGATTTTCTTGAATGGTTATGGTAGTTACCAAATGAAAGGTATGTGTGAATGGAAAAGTATTTTTGTATCGATATTATCTACTTGTAAGTTTGACGTGCATGTAATTAAATTATTTGTTGTTCAAATTTTACTTTATTAAACAAGCATTCTCTACACGTTTAATGAGAAACTTAAAATTTGCGATTGGTCTGATCACCCCATCCCCAGTTAACTTCTCACCGAGCTATATTAATGACTCGTGTCATAAGGCATATAATTTCTAATAAATAACATCGACGTGAAGTCATCTTGCTGCTGTGGTGTAGTGGTTATCACGTTAGTCTTACACACTAAAGGTCCCCAGTTCGATCCTGGGCAGCAACAATTTTTTATTTTTCCACCGAACATTTTCCCATGCAGTACAAATCAGGATCGTAAAATGAACCAGATAAAAAAAATCCGTACAAATACCACCCCCTCCCAAAATAGAGCGATGGAAAATAGCCGTTTCAGATAAAACTTGAACAATCTATAAGAATACTTTTCAACGTCCTCGATACATTCTAAAAGAGAATAATGAAGAACTCGAAATACAAAGAAAGTTAATACATGTTCTACAAACACCCTTTTGAAGTTGCCCCGGATCTTGTACCTCCTGCAATCACAAAAATTCAAGTACTCAGCATTGCCAAACTTTTGACTCCATTTGGGATCATGAAAACTCTATCAGATATTATCGTATGTTGCTCAACTGTTTAAAGTATAATTGACAAGGTCTTGAGAAGACAAGTGCCTTCTCTTTCTATGTTCCACTACTTTACAGATATCCACTCGACACCGGCATCTTTAATTCTTTTCGAGTTTTATTTTCTTTTTCATGTATTTTTAGAATCTTCCAAAGAATCGGAGTACCTTAGCTGTAGACTTTGAGAACAAAAAGTTCATATTCCTTGAAGTCTCATTCTAAAGTACTCGTATGATAAGGGTAACAACTGGCAACTACCGATAGCAAAATTTTGTAAGAAACCAAAACCAACGTAAGGAATGGTTTTCACTGACGAGCTGCAAGAAAAAGGGACTCCTACTTTTACAGTCAATGTTATGATCAGATTCAGATGCTCACATACCCTAGATTGATGCAAGGTGGCTGTCAGAGCTGGCTTCCCCATTTTCAGGGAGGAACTTATCTTCAGTTAGCAAAAACATTAACTCTGACTCGAGCAGTAACTTCAGGGTGGAGCTTCAGCTCTGCAATATATTCTCCTGTTTCCCTTATCTCTGGAAGAGAAACAATTCTCTTGTCTACATCCCTACAGATCAACACAAGAGAAGTTGAAAAATTAAGCAACCATAGCTTAAGGATGAAGGTGGATCGGACATCTATAAATCTTTAAATATCAATCAGAGTTCTCCTATTTGAATAGCAATATCCGTTGGATATTCGAATAACTAAACTGAATCCACTAAGGATGGTAAATATAATATCCCAATCTGCAAAAAAATGGATATGGGAAACCATAATTGGAAGGCTGTTCTTCCAGCTATAAATATATGTAGAAATCAAACTTAATATCGTTACCAAAGGTGTGGCACACAAACTTTTATAATATTGCAATTCACTAACAAAATGCAAATGATTTGTGTTTTCATAACTATTGTCCAAACCAAACTAAATATATGTATTGGTCTGTCAGTTTCAATTGTTCTCTGTAACTGCAGATGCAATCAAGAACGATAGTGGGTCATATTCATAAACTAAGGCAAAAAGCTTGAATTCTTATTTAGTGCAAATTAATTTTGTGAACAAATTGCAGAGTTATGATGCTTGTTAACAACTAAATCCCACAGATTTTAAGGTCGATACCTTTGAAGCTGTGCCTTGATAATGTCTACAAGATCTTGAGCGGTAACACTGACAAAGACAATTGAATGTCAGAGTCAAATATGATAAGTGAAAACCTAACATATGAACTGCTTAGTGTGGATTCGGATCCTACTCACCTTCCGAAAATTTGCTTTCCTTTTCCACCTTTTCGCTTCACCTTAAAAGCTCCAACAGTTTCAAATATTACAGCAAGCTGTTGTGCCTCTTCTTTTACCTGGAGTAAAACAAGATCATCTAACAAGATTCATGAGTCCACGGACATGAATATAACATATTAAACTGGTGAAACCGCAAACAAGAAGCTAGGAAACAACCGTAAAACACCATGTGGAAATGACATTAACATAATTTCTTCATTGTATACTGGCTTGGAGCAAATGAAACTAGTTTTCAATTAAACTGAACAATGAACACCACAACACCATAAAGAAGCAGTCTCCAATATTACTCCGTACCATCGAAGCAAATACATTCAGAAAAACCAGCTTGCATGAAAAGTTTCACTCCAAACAGGGAAGGCTCAATTTTGATAAAGCAAACTTTCTTTCATTCTCAAATCACTAATATCTTCGGTGGACTAATGGGAAAAGATGACCACAATGATATTTCCAAATTGCTAACATAAAAAATTCAAAACATGTGTCATTGAACTTACCCTTTGCTTCTCTGCTTCAATTCTTTCCTCCTCCACTTTCATTTCCCTGAGGGGAAAAACCATTAATCATCCCAAATCAAATGTACACTAATCCTTCCATTTCTTAATTGAATACTATTGTAAAAGCAAGAAAAGGAAACACAAATTAAAAATATAAAAGAACAGAGATTCAGGTTTAAAAATACTTGAGCAAAGCAGGAGTGATAATCTGGGCTTTTCCCATAGGCAAAAGATAATTCCTGAAATACCCAGCTTTCACGTCCAAAAGCTGCCCCTTTTTCCCCAGGTATTCCACATCCTCCTTCAACATTATCTGAAACCCATCATTATCAACAACCACTCAATCAAATTACAAAATAAAAAAAATGCATACAATCAAATTTCAACTAGATAGGAAACAATTTGCTTAACCTTTCGAGTCTTTTTAGCTTTCTTCTGGGCAAAAACCACGAAGACCCTGTTTTTTTCTGCTGCTTTTGCTGCCTCGTTTTGGGTTCCTCCAAAGCTGTGAAGCCATGAGAGTGTGGATGCTGCTGTAACTGTAGCGCTTGTCATTGCCACTCCCCTGGAAAAAGCAGTCTGTTTTCTCTTGTTCTGTCCCTCCCTCCGTAATCTTATCTGCTATGCATTTCAATGTCACTCTTACCAACCGTTTTATGTTTTGCAATCGGTCGTTTTGAAACAATATGGTAAATGTTGGCTATATGTATTTGGGTAAACTACATTATAAGTGAACAACCTATTTTTTTTTTCTATTTTTGTAATTATTTTTTAGAAAAATATCACTAATGATATGCCTTTTTTCTATTTTGATCACAGTCTTTAAAAATGTATTGATGTATATTTTTTTTACAACATTTTCTGTCTCTCCTAATTAGCATTTCGTTAATAACACCGTTAATTGTTTTTAACGATGAATGATAAAAATATAACATTAACGACAATTTTGTCACAAAAAGTAATTTAATGACCAAAATATAAAAGAGGTAATAGATTGGTGACTAATATTATAGTTACCCTATATTTCTTTTCAAATGGATTATTAACATTTTTTTTTCTTTCTAATAGTTTAATTTGCAAGTTTTAAGTGATTTACAATATTTTTGTAAGTTTGTTGTCCAAACTACATTTGTTGCAACATACATTTTTTTAATGTTGATTCTATGATTTTTTTGTATATAAGTATTTTATTTATTCAGAAAGAAGTAATAATTTATTTAATAATTAGTTGTAAAAATTTTAATTTATTAAAAATGATTGTTGTGTTTGGTACATATTTAATAATATAAAGAAAAATCAATTATTGTATGGGTTTTTAAAGTAATTTATCAAAATATAAAGAGAGAATCGATTAAAATGGATTCACAACATGTAACGTCCCAAAACTCAGGTTAATAGTTACGGGTTAAATTGAGGGGATTTATATCGACCCGTTAGACCTATTAAAAAAACTTGAACCAATTAAGTTGGATTTGGGCTTGTATTAGGCCCAATTGGTATAAAAAGGGGTCATTTTAATGTCAAGGTGGAAGATAAAGGACTAAAAGGGTCATTACACCATTTTTTCAACCAAAGGTTGATTTTGTTTAATGAGGGTGATGTAATTTGGCTGAACCGCTCCCCTTTATCCCTTATCTTTAGCCTTTTTTTTTTGTCCCCTATCTTCATCTTTTTCATTCTCATAATTCTTCCTCTCCCAAACTTAGTGCAAATGTGAAAACTTATATGCTCTTAGTCACATTTCAGATTTTCTAAGGTAAGAAATGATATCATAACCTTCCAAGTTTTCATCCAAGCCTTATATTGAGTTTTGGTCATGGAAATGCCTAGGTGGGGTTTTAAGGTGGGTTTTGGGTTTCCTTAGTAATCCTAATTTTTTTGTTGGAGGTTTGAAATCATATTTCTAATATTTTTGACTCTCTAGATGAGTTAGTAACTCATTTACCTTGACCTTGATTAGTTAAAGAGGTGGGAGAAAACTCCAAAACTAAAAGAAAGGAGAAATTAACCCTTGGTTGATTTAAGGACATTTCCAACAGCTAAGGAATTATGGTAACACATTCACAACTCTTTCATACCATTTGTGAGTCAAGAGAATTCATTTAGCTAGTGAGTAGTGAGTTGTAGAGCATGAATCAACATACATGGTAGATTCAAGCATTTGATTTTTTAGCATGTATAAAAACTTATTATGACCTCTTATTTCATACATAAAACATTAAGAATGTTTGGAACCTCAGTAGGGCGTTTGGGATGGTTTTGGGAGTCAATTTCGTATCCAAATAGGGTGTTTTTGGGTTTGAGTATCGGTACTGAAAGAAAATTTCCAATATTGTTCACCAACTAGCTTAAAAATGGGAGAATTTAGGAAGGGAAGTATCGGTACTTACCCAAAGAGTATCAATACTTCAGGTCGAGTTTTGATACTCGCAAGGTGATATGATAACGAGTAAACTTAATTGATTCTAGTAGGCCGTTTTTGCATCGGTACTGATAGGAGTATCGATATTGAGGGTAGAGTATCGATACTCCTAATATGGGTGTCGATACTGAGGTATTTTTTAAAACATCAAAGCAAAAATTGGTATCGATACCCCAGATAATATCGATACCCTAGCTCAAGAGTATTGATACTGGTATGGAAGTACTGATACTGTCATTCTTCCCAACTTGAAATCATTGTGTAAGTATCGATACCTAAGGGCGAGTATAATTTATGGGACTTAGTATCGGTACCATCGCACATTTATGGGGAAGAAACTCAAGAGATTTGGAAGTGTTATCAAGGGACCCAATGACACCAAAACACTATCAAATAAAAACTACAAGTGAGAACCTTGTTAATATGCAATTACATATATAAATAATATCAACTATGACGACATAAAATTTACCTTGGTTAACGCTCGAGAAAATAGTCAGGATAACCGAGTTACTTTAGCAGATGGCGATAGTCGAGGTATAGAGTATCCAAATATTCTTAAGCAAGTGCGCTAGACACTTTGAGACTAACTAGGACACCAACCTAAAACACTCGTAAAGGGTGGGTTAGTTGGGTGTTGTGTCTGATGTAAAGATTCCAGACCTCACCCTCGGTATACTAGAGGGGTGTGTGTCTCGAGATGTGTAATCCTCCGATCACATTATGATGTCTACCTTACAGTAGTGTACAATATATGAGAATACTCACTTTCTTTATTTCACTCGATAACATGAGCATTTATTGAACACTTTTAGTATGATTTAGTTGTTAGTGTGGTACTAGGCTAGTGAGCTCAACATTCGAAATTTGTTTCCGTGCATAGGTCCTTACAAGAAACATTTGAGGAGCTATCGCGCAATGGATGTTCCAGGCCAATCGAGCAACACAATGCGTCTTGAGTCTTTTGTCTAGATGACATCTATTATTCATAAACCTTCATGTACTTGAGTCGTAACTCCATTTTGATACTTGATTTATTTATTTTGTATATTTTTGGAAGCTTCCCTTATAAACTCAAATGATTATGTTGAAGAATGTTTTACTTAAGGGTTTTTAAATGATGGTTTTAAAAATGGTTTCAAAGAAAAATTTTGAGTTAGCTATTACGGTGGTTATGTGTGACATTCTAATCGGTCGATTTTGTGTCATATCGGGTTCGGATGTTACACAACATGTTTCTTTTTTAACAATCACAACATAATTTCGTTAGTAAAAATAAAGGAAATAATTAGAATTACAAAGTACCCAACAATAGAGAGAAAAATCATGACAATAGTCATAAAAAAACTTATACAGAATAAAAATTAAGCCCAAATATACGAAGAAACACCATTCCCTTGAGAATGAAAAGTAACATCAAAAGAATCCAGTAATCTCAATAAAAACTTATTATATCTGTCGAACGAGATACTTTACGAAATGATAATTGAGAGGTGAGTCAACCAAATTATCTGACAGACTGTTTCACTACATAATTTTGATTTTATCGGCAAACTACCTTTTACCAAAGAGGGGATCTGACTATACTTGACCACCGACAAACCAATCAGAAAAATTGTCGTTTGTGTGAGCAAAAAAAACAACATCAAAGTTATGCGAAAAACGTACCACAAGCCATATGGATTGTGCCACAAGAGGATAGAAAATACGTGCCACAAAAACACAGAAGACACGTGTCACAAGGACAAAGATTCTTGTTCAAAATTAAAAAAACAAATAACATAAGACAAGAAATAAGAGAACTAATAATCATCGATAATCGACAATCAACATTATGATTGACTTAGTCAAATACTAAACTAAAAATTAAGGGAAAAAAAAGAAGGTGACTTAAAAGTATTAGAAGAGAAAATAGGTTAGAAAAAGAAAAAGAAAAACCTAACAGATTCACAACATGTTTTAAAATTGAGTCATCAACCATGCCATGTTTTTTTAAAATACAAATATTAGTTTACACATCAATGTAATTTTCTTCAACTTAATCAAATTTCTAATTAAAATATTTAAAAACAATTAATTATATTTGGACAATAAAAGCATTGAGATTATGGGGGGAAACTGAAGAAGTGAACAATTTTCAACGAAACTTAAACAGGAAACTATAAATTGATATGCAAAGAAATAATTCGATAAGGACGAGTGTAAACTGTGAAATGTGATTTCTTTTTTAAATGGATGATGTGGCATGATTTTATTGATATAAAAAATATAGTTACTAAAATGATTTCAAATGGAATCAAATATTTATTATATTTATAAAAATAGTATTTTAATATTTTAAATTAAATTATTTTTTATTAATTTAGAATAAGTATAAGACAATATATATTCAAAGATAAAACTCTCAATCATTTCTAGTGTTCGAGATCCTACCAATTAAATGAAACCTTAAAGATTAACAATAATTCTTTTATCACTAAAATCGTAATTCAATTGGTACTTTTAATTAAATTATGATCGAAATAATTTGTCACATTGTCTTCCCCATAGTTTTATATACACAGTAACCGTAAGGATAGTTTGATGTTAGCCAACTTTTTGAGTTTACTTTTCAATTATTTAAAGCTTGGCCAGTGACCACAATTGCGAGATTAGTGAATATCCGAGGGAGGTATTAAGTGGGGATGAGCTTAAAGAAGCTCCTAAGTTGACTTACAGCCTCTCTTTATCTCTTTGTCTTGATTTCCATTAACAAAGTTTCTTTCCAACAAACAAGCTTTTTTAGTTTCAAATCCCAACCAAAAAATTAGCAACAATTTCTTGAAAATGATTTCTGGGTCTGCTCCATGTTTTCCCAGTGCATCATCACAAGGTTTGCCAACGTATCCAGTGGCAGAAGAAAACGTTGTTTCACCATTCTATGAAGTTGGTTCTGGTTCTGGTTCAGGTTCAGGACCAGAGCAGTCTCATGAAAGCACTCTCCTCTATAAGCTCTCCATCCTGAAAGATAGAGTCCATGACGTTCAATCACTTGCTACCCTCGTAATCTCCCCTGATCGATCCCTTCCCGAGTCAACTTCTCTAGTCATATCAAGGATGGGTTCTTTGGTTCAGGAAATCGTCGTAACAGCATCGTCCATGATTTTCGTTTGTCAACAGATGCTTCTTGGAACCACCTCAGGTAACACTATCAACACCGGTAATC